AAGGAATGAAAAAAGAAGGAAAAAATGGAAAAAAAGCTTATGTAACTAGGGAAGGATGGAGGGGTTGAAGGGAGGGCAGGGGAATGGGAAAAAAATAAGAACCAAGATATATCATGAGCAGGTACAAATTCCCAAGGATAAATGTGATCATAATATATACCTAAAATGTACCAATAAACTAAATTAAAAATAATAAAAAATAAAAACTGTATATACCTGCACTAAAAATAAATAAAAATAAATAAACTACCAAACTTATGGTATAATTAAGCTTTGGTTAGTGCTAACTTCTAGAGTCAATTTTTTTATATCTGATATTTTTTGTGGTCAGAATTGTCCCATTAGGGCTGATGTTAAACTGATACGATGAGTCTGAATGCAAGAATGAGAAGAGATACACAATAACACATAGGAACAAGAGATGTAAGTAACCTCCAGAACATAGATAAGAGTAAGATGCAATAAAATAATTAGGAGGTTTAAAAAATCAGATGGTTGAAGTGCATGAAATTGTTTTTGTATCTTTGGTTCTATTCCAGTGGTTAACATATCTGTTTTTGTGCAAGTACCATGTTGTTTCTGTTACTGTTGCTTTGTAATATAACTTAAAATCTGGAATTCTGATGCTGCCTGCTTTGTTCTTGTGGTCCAGGCTTGCTTTGGTTATTCTGGGTCCCTTTTGGTTCCATATGAATTTTAGGACTGACTTTTCTTGTTCTGTGAAGAAAGCTGTTGGTATTTTGATTGGGAATTTATTAAATCAATCTATCTACCTATATTATTTTTGGTTATATGATCATTTTGATAATACTGGTTCTGCCTATTCAGGAACAGGGTATATCTTTCCATTTTCTAATGTCTTCTTCAACCTCTTTTTTCACAGTATTATAGTTTTTGTGATAGAACTTTTTCACTTTCTTGGTTAAGTTAATTCTTAGTTATTTAGTTTTTAAACTGTCATGGATGAATTGTTTTTCTTCTTTCTCAGTGGGTCCATTGTAGGAATGCTGTTAATTTTTGTGTGTTGATTTTGTATTCTAATACTTTGCTGAATTTGTTTGTTCTAAGAGTCTTCTGATTTTTTTTTCTCTTTTTGGTTCTGTTGGGTCTTTTATGTAAAGGATCATGTTATCTACAAATAAGAATAATTTGACTTCTTCCTTTCCTATTCATGTCCCTTTTATTTTTTGTCTTGCCTGGATGTTCTGGCTAAAGTTTCACGTTTAGCGATCACTTTGGTAGCATATATATTAAAGTTTCATGTATATACTGAATGTGAGTCATGAGAGTGAACACCCATATCTTGTGCCTATAAAATCCTAAAAAGTTTTTGATTTTGGTATTTTGGATTTATGTTACAGATGAACTAAGGGATCAAACTAAAGAAAACTTACACTGAACTTAGTAAAAGGAAACATTTATTTCCAATAAATACATATCTCTTAGTTTAGAGAATGTATAATTTTGTAATCTTATTTATGAGATTTCCTGTGAGTGGTTTGTCTCTGTTTAGATAGTAGGTATGGTGCATTAGAAAATATTGTCATGTCTGTCTATTAGAATAGGTCTGAATAAGGAACCTCTTTATTTGTAAGCTACTCACATTTTTAGTGGGATGAAAATGCTTGGTGTTTTATTTACCATTTCTAAGTGTGCAGTCCCAGGGCATTAAGCACATTCACATTGTTATACAACCATAGTTAGGGCCCATTTCCAGAACCCCATTCATCCTGTAAATGGGAACTCCATATAAATCAGACAAAAGTTTCTGCTTACATTTCCTAACCCCCTGGCAACTACCATTCTACTTTCCATCTGTGTGAGTGTGACTACTCTAGGTTCTCTTTATATCTGGATTATATCATTTATCAGAATGTCCTCATGGTTTGTTCATGTTCTAGTACCTGTTTGAATTTCATTTCTTTTTTATGCCCAAATAATATTCCATTGTGTGCATATACCACATTTGGTAAATCCATTCATCTGTTGATGGATATCTGGGTTGCTTCTATCTCTAGTTGCAGCACAAACTTTTGTTCTGTGGTTATAACACACTATGTAAGCCATTTCCCTGATGATGGAGTTTTTGTTCTTTTCCAAACCTCACTAAATAATTGGGAATTTAAAGCATTTCATGCATGCACAAGGATATTTGTTAGTCAAACTTGTTGATACAAATTTGCCAGAAAAATGTTTTGGTATATGAAATTTGGGGATGTTGCCAAATTGCCCTTTCTAGAGATGGCACACATTTACCCTTCTTGGAGAGAAAATCCGTTTCCCTAATCTCTCACCAACACAGCGTGTTAACATATTTCTCCATCTTTGTTCATCACATGGCAGGAAATGTGTCTCAGTATATTTTTAACTTCTATTTCTCTTATTTTGAGTGCTCTCTGAGTGTTTCAGAGCCATTGAATTTCTTTTACTGTGCCTATCTGTTCATTTCCTTTGTTCACTTTTCAATTGAGCTCTTGGGTTTTTTTCCTCCGTCTTCTTTATATTGGCTGCCGTTGAAAAACTTGCTTTTGTTTGGAATCCTTAATACCACCTGTGGGAGTCTTTTGGAACTCTGCAGTGAAACAGAAGCTTTGTCTGAGAAAAGTAAAACCTGCTTTTCAGCACCATTGATCAAATACTGGCTCAGTGACAGTACATTTTATTAAGGGAACTGTCTGACACAGTAGGAGGCTTTACTGAAGAGGTGATATTCAAAAGTAGGAGTATCTTTGTGAGAATGTTATTTAAATGCCTGTTATCACAACATACTTTAATACACTTAGGATTTACTTAAATTATCTTTTACAAGTTCAGTGTATGAACCCAAGATAATAAATACTTGGAACAAACTGAAAGGTCAACCAAAAAAATAGCATACTGTTAAATGCCATTTTGCTAGACTCGTGTAGCTAACTACATACTGAAACATCAGAATCAATATGCCCCCCACCCCTAAATCATTCCTTTGATCCACAGAACAACGCCTTAGATCCTGAGTTTGCTGCTTCAGTTTTCCAAGATACATTCGCCAGGCCACACCCCTACCATACATCACTGTGATTGTCTGAGTGCTTGTGCCCCTCAAATTCATGTTTGAAACCCAGGCTCCACCATGATGGTTTTAAGAGGTGGGACCTCTAGGCAGTGATTAAATCAGGAGAGATGATGATATTAGTGCCCTGAAAAAGAGGCCCCAGGGAGCTGCCTTTCTCCTTCCACCAGGGAAGGACATAGTGAGAAGGCCCTTACATTGAACACTTTGAATTTTCTGGCACGTTGGTCTTAGACTTCCAGCCTCCAGAACTGTGGAAAATAAATTTCAGTGGCTTATAAGCCACCAAATTTATGGTATTTTGTCATAGCAGTACACACAGACTAAGTTAATTACCAACTGATTTTATCTGCTAATGTATCCACCACCCCATCAGAGACCGTGCAACTGCCTCCAGTGGATCCTTTGCCTCCAGACTTGTCCCTATTCAACAGTTCTCCAATCCATCACCAAAATTAATTTATAAAATGCTAATCAGGTCATGGCATCTCTGCTTAAAATCCTTTGATGCCCCTGATGGACCTTAAGATAAAACTCAAACTCCTCAACGTGGACTCTGAGGCCAGCAAACCCTGGCCTGCCTGTATCTCAACCTCCTGACTCAGTGCCCTCTCGTTCGTCTGCTATTCCCCCAGTGACTGTTCAGTTCCTTAAGTTCAGAGTATACATGCTTGTTTCGGGACCTATGAAAATCTGCTCTTCTTTCTAGCATGGTCTTGCCTGTTCCACTCCCCAGACCCTATCACCAAAACAACTCCTATTCATTCTTCTCTATCACATCTTGCCTGACACTCCTCAAGTCTGGGTTAATGGCTTCTTTTAGGAATGCATATGTCTCTCTTCTTACATGACACCCCAGTACTACAACCCCCTGTTTCCTGGTATAAACAGAAGCCCCATAAGATGCAAGGTGCAGTACCACACCTGCCTTGCTTCCCACAATTGTCCAGCGCCTAACGCATTTATTACTAACAAAACATCTGTTAGTGAATGACTGTTGAAACATGGCTGGAAACAGAAGGAGAATGTCTTTTGTCTATGCTGCTACATAGGAATAAATTGTCAGAATGTTATATATTGGAGTCCCAGCATAGAACTCTTAGTGTCTTCCCTTAAAATTCTGCAAGCTGTGTGACAAAAAGATAAGGCTAAATTAACTAGTGTTATTAGCCTGACGTCCCACTGGTCTCATGAGAAAGACTGAAGGTAAGGCTTAATGAAACTAAAGACCAGGCAGGAAGAAACAACGGCCACCCACTGAGCATCTTGGTAAAGTCCCAGGTAGAGCAGATCTCTAAAGACAGTGTGGCACACAAATTTAGGGCAGAGATCCCACCCAGGCTTTTTATGAGGGCTAGTTTTTGAATGCAGTAATGCTCATAGTGCCTTCAAGGTCATTCTCTCAGAGAACCTCTTCCATCCCTTCTATTAATTTACCCCCCCCCGAAGTAAGTGTGGTTTGGGGCTGATCCACAGCAAGAAATTCTGTTTGACAAATGTAGAGGTTGATTTGGGACTTAGGGTCTCATTAGTATATAGTACAGTAAAAAATAACAAAAGCTCTACATCTTATACAATTTTTCTGTTACTATAGAAAAATATCCAAGGCCTTATAATTTATAAAGAAGAGAGGTTTGTTTAACCCTTAGGTCTTCAGGGTGAAAAGTCCAAGAGCATGGCACTGGTATCTGCTCAGCATCTTTGGGGTCCTTGAGCTGCATCATAACACAGTGAAGGGCTCCACATGGTGAGACAGAACAAAGATGTCAGGCATAGCTCACTTCTATAACAAAGCCTCTCTTTCAAGAACCCATTAACCCATGCATAAATGGATTGACCCATTCAGGACCCAAGTGCTGTACCTCTTAAAGCCCCCATCTCCCCACACTGCTACGAAGAAAAGCGAGTTCCACCAAGAGGGGGACAAACCACATTCCAGCCACAGTACCATAGCCTAGTGGGCTCTGTTTGCAGTGATCCAGTGAACCTTGACTTTGAGACACTCTCAGATGACTTGTCCCTGCACTCCTTTATTCTCCTTGGCAATTTATCGTCCACGTGGTCTCAAGAAACTTCTCCTTCCATGCACCTCACACTGTGAAGTTAGGGAGACCAGGTCTTCCCACCACCAGTTGTCTTGGTGGCATTATTTCATCCTTTTCCTCCATCGAGTCTCCAGCGGGCCTCCATGGTGAGGCCTGGAAAGAAGAAGAGCAAAGGTCAGAACTGCCAGCCACTAAGAATGCTTGTGTGATAGTTAGCACGGGTGTCAACTTGAGCAGGCTTTGGGATCTGCCCTGGGGATTGGTGGAGCACACTTCTGGCTGTGTCTGGGTGGTCATGGAAATGTGGCCTTGAGGTCTGTGTCTGGTCTCTCCACCTTTCTTCTGTGATGCTGTTTCCTTGCTCTGCTTCCTGGCTGCCACAAGAAGTTTTCCTATGACGTTTCTGCCTTGGAGCCAGCCAGTTACAAACTGAAAATGCAAGCCAGTAAACCTTCTCACCTTTAAATTGCGGGTGTCTGGTATTATGTCCAGCAACAGGAAGACAAATACAGGCTGTATGACCAAAGGCAATGTTCTTTCAGAAAAAGATATTCAAGAAGTAAATAAACTTTTAGTCCATGGCACTAAGAGAATGGAATACTCACCCCACAGTGACCTCTTCCTGTAATATATCAGAACCCTAAGCCTTATAATTTATAAAGAAGAGAGGTTCTTCTGCAATCATGAGGGGGGAAACAACCCATACTCCACAGTGTGCTATGTTGCCAGTATTCTCTAGATATGGGCAGTCAATATATTACAGGAGATACTCAATACTGTATTATAAAGGAGACTTTTGTGTTAATGCTTTTGCCCAACTGTTAGGCAAATATAAGTGATCTGAGAACACTTTAGGTAGGCTAGCTAAGTAGTGATAGTCAGTGGGTCACAATGTATTTTTGATTTATGGTAATATATTTTTGATTTATGATGTTTTTAACTTACTTAAAAAATCACTCCATCAGAAGTTATTGAGCACCTTATGTAGAGATCCTACAGGACCCCCTCCCCCCAGGGCTTCAAAACAGCCCAAGAGCCTCTAGCTCCATGGGAAACTCACCTTTGTGGTCCATGTTCTACTGGCTGGACACAGTCACATTTGGTTATAGGGTGCTGGGAAACACTGTATAAATTCCCCATCACACCCACACTATAGAAAGTACATCTAACACTGTCTTAAGATGAAATATCTATCTTTCTGATTATGATATGACCACCCCATGCTTTGGAGTTAGAGCCTATTCTTGCCATCAAGCATTATTGTTGTCATCCTTGCAGTTTGGGGGTAAAGGAGATGCATTCCCAAGACTTTAAATTCCAACTCAGAACAGGCCTCGTGGTACAGCTCTGCGATCCCAGCTACTTGGGAGGCTGAAGCAGGATTGCAAGTTTGAGGCCAGTCTGAACAACTTGAAGAGACCCTGTCTCCAATAAAATTTTAAAAGGGCTGAGAATGTAGCTCAGAAGCCCCTGAGGTCAGCCCCCAGTACTACATAAACACACACACACACACACACACACACACACGTCCTTCTTGGAAAAAAATTTTAACAGAAACACTATTCTGAAAATATTAGGGATTTATACTAGTACATAAAAGAATTTTTGAGAAAGTCTTTGGCAAGATGATCACCACAAAAGATCCTGTCAGTTGTTACAAGTTTGAAAAATATCTTAGGTACCTGGAATAGAATGTCAAGGTCTCAGGCTCCCTGTGTGGAGGAGGAATTGGGCGTTGTCTGCCGTGGAAGAGAGCAGAATGGGAGCAGAATCTTGGGATGATATAATCTTCCTTTATGAAAGCAGAATGTTCTATTAGAAGGAAGACAGAGACATCACAGAGGAGATTCAGTGGTGGGGTTGGCCAGCACCACTGGGGATGCACCTTTCAGCTCTGCCTTCTGTGATGCTCTCAGCTGGGAATGGGTCCCACATGGGTCCCACCCACCCACACTGATGAGGGTAGGTGTGAGATGTTGACATCTCTGGTCTTCAGCAAGTAAGTAATAATAGAGAGAAAAGGGTAAAATGAATATAGAATATTTTTGTTACTAGTTTTGCAAAATCAGAGTCTCTGAGTATAAAGGAATAAATCATTGGAAATAGAAGAGTAGAATTTTAATAGTTAGAAGGTTTTTCCCCCTACAAGTCTTTGGATGTATGGAGAAAATAGCTTGTAACTAAAGCTTACATTTTAGGCTAAAAAGAAGATTAAATGTTAAAACCTCAACACAATAATGCTACAGAGCATTTGCTTTAATTTTTATTAAGCAGGTGAATTAGGTTAGCTCAGCATTCTCAACTAGGGATGAGTTTTCCTCCTGAGAGGGAGGGTGCTCCTGGCATCCAGAGGAGAGGCCTGGAATGCTGCTGAGTACCTTACAATGCACAGGGCAGTCCCCAAATCAACACTCATGTTGTCTAAGCTGTCAGCAATACCAAAGTTGGGAAACCTTGGTAGCCTTAAGGCCATGAAGATACATAGCAATCTTTCTTTTGATTTTGCTAAACTACAAAGCATCATGTCAAAAAAATTTTATCAGACATAGCTGATCTTCTAATCATTATCTCTAGAAAGACAAAGATGTCTTTGAAGACTTATAAATCAGAGATTTTTTTTTCAGTTTGGTTTACTTAGGTACAAGCAAGTTTCAGCTTTGTGCTGTGATGAATTCCATTAACATCAACGCTGCCGGGCCTAGGCTCTTAAACTTATTATTTCTGGCCTATTTTTAGACCATTGATTGTGCTGACAACTTGAAATGAATCATGACCAGATGGCAAGCCACTGAGGGTGATGAACTTTGGCAAGTGGCCCTAAAAGGCCAGTTTTCAACTCAAAACAGATGCAGTCTCGAGACCAGCTGAGCTTTTACCTTTGAGATTAAAAAATATGGGGTCGACCCGGCGGCGTGCGCGCGAGCTCCCGGCCTGCGCGACAACAGACCCAGGAAGGACCCAAGGACCCCAGAGGGGGTTTTTTTCAGCTGCCTACCTGCCTGCCTGTCTGCGA